ATGACCAGGCATGTGGCGTGGTATGATCTTTTTTTTAATAAAAGAAAAGCGAAAACTATAAAAAAAACTTTGTGTCAATTTATATTTCTGACGATTCTCTGGTGAAAGAAACATCAATAACAAAATTCAAAATTAATCCAAAAGACGGTGGTAGGCTCGCGGTAGGGGTTAGGCGGTAGGCCCCTCCCACGTTGAATTCAAATATACCCAGCGATATATATGTCAAGTGTTATTTTCCTCGTGATCATACACGTCGGTAATTAACATGTCTCTGACTGTCCCGTTAGAGCAGACTGTCGTGTCGGTATAATTTTATTAAAATGTAATAAAAACAAAACATACCAGTACATGCTCGGGGGCCCGCTCCAAATGGCAGATAAGCATATTTATTGGTTTTACCAATTTCTTCCGAGATGAATCTTTTCGGTCGGAATTCATCAGGTTTTTCAAAATATTTTGGATCATTATGCAGTCCATGAACAGATATAATTATTCTGTCACCCTTCTCCAATGATATATTTAGTTCAGGAATTGGGGTTTTGCGGACACATTGCCTCAATAGAACGCCACCTGGTGGAAACAATCTCATACTTTCTTTGAGCGCACATTCTAGGTAAGTCATTTCTTTAATAGCATCGTAGCTGAGTTTATTATTGTATTTAGTAAGTACTTCATCAACTTCTTTTTGAATTTCTATTTGTATCTCAGGATGATAGGCTAGTTGATGCAACACGTAACTGATGGCTGAAGACGCAGTTTCAAAACCAGCAGCGAAGAACGTAAATATTTGAGCGGCTATATGAACGTCGTCGAGTTCTAATGTTCTAATTTCCGGGCTTCCATCTGGTTTCTTATTTTCGATAGATTCAACAACAATTGGTCCCTTTTTCTTACATTCAAGTAACATATCGATAAAATCATTTCTGCCCGATGGTTCATAATTTCTTTCGTCCAACATTTGCTTCGTCAATTTAAGTATATCACTTTCAATTCTCTCAAAGTATTTGAATTGTATCCCGATACACGGGATGAATATATTTAGAAAATTAACTAACAAGTCTCTTGCAGTACCTTGGAATATTTTTACGCCGAGTTTCTTGAATGCTGAGTCTTCCTCGCTCAGCGCGTTGATGTCCAATCCGAATCCGCAGGAGCCTATAAAATCGATGTTATATCGAGATATGAGGTCATATGCATTAAGTTTATGGCCCGCGGCAGCTGCTGTGAATACGCGTGCCTGCAGCTTCTCAGCCGTTTCCACTATCAGCGGGAACATCGCCTTTAGCTTAACGCTAGTAAAAATCGGTGTCATGCACTGACGCAACAGGCGCCAGAGATCGCCTCTTGCATAAAATAAGTTCTGCATCATGGGTTCTAAAACGTCCTTATGAAAATCTGCACCGCGCGTATTGAAATGAACAAAATCAGTAACAAGAATGCGTTTTATGATTTCAGGATCTCTCACCACTAACTCTGGCCTTCCTACTCTGAAGAAGCCAACCACTTTCTCGTTGGGATATTTGTTGTAAACCTCGTGTGCAAGTTCCGCGATCGTTCGCTTTTTTAAATAGTACCAAAAGCAATTTCCGAAGAGTGGGATAGGCTTGTCATGTTTGATTCCTTTCGCGTCCCAATATTTGAAAGATTTAGTGCTGTAATAATAGACTAGCGCACAGAAAACTACAACAATTGCCAAAGTAATCATTCTGATGATACGCACGCGCGGTTTACACGAGTATTTAATACGAAATTTTAATTAAAAGTGCTAGCTAATCAACTGAGTTCTTGGATATTTAACTAATTTACATTTGACATGTTTTTTGTTTGTTCAAGTGGTTGTTGACGAAGGTATTAGAATACTAATAGAATTGACACGTATTTCTATATTGCCTCTACTTTGGCAACATACCTTTGCTGAGAATTAAACCGTTTATTGAGTCTGCTTTCAGGGGCGTTAGTTTTCAAAATCCTTTTTAGAAACCTAGTTAATTCTGGGCTAACTGACCTGCCTTTGTTTTTTATATTATTTTCTTCTTTACTGCTGTCTCGCTTTCGAATTGATATTTCCATGGTCGTTCATTTAAAATTCAATCATCACCTTCAATTGATCTGATTGTGGTCTGGTCCTTACATCTGAAGTTCTAAAATTTCTTTTTAGAAATATTTAAATTATTAACCGGGTCTTAACACGAACAATTTTATGGGAAATAGAGTCGAAATGTCGAGAGAGGTAAATACCTATTTACCTCTCTCGACATTTCGACGGATATCAGGAAATGTAAGCAATTGTATATTATAAGGAAAACAAATAACGCATATATGTTTAGACAGTTTTATAAATTAGTGAACCGAAAACACTTGTGTCTACATTCTAGTTGTTATAGATGCACGTGAATTTTCAAGTCAAGGTTGTGTTAATTTAGTTACGTTACTATGCATTTACATATTATAGTGACGTCATTATAGTTGCTATATATTATATACTAGCGGCTCGTCTCATCTTCTTTATTAATCCTTATAATTTTGAATTCAGAATTGTTTCAATAGCTGTAGATTACTTTTTGAATCTTTCAAATCGTAGATGTACAATCCATTCATCGGATCAAGCAATTTTCATTGTCAGAAATGCTCATGATGAAGTTGAAAAGTATTAAACGACCTGTACATCAGTACATCAGAACAGTGTTGAGGTTGTTAGAGTTTCCTATATATGATAGACACCCTACCGTAGTACACTTAGGTAACGGACAACGAGCAGACTTCTAAGCGGAAAACATGCAAAACAGTAGAAAATCCACCAAAACGACACTTATGGCATTTTTTGATATATGCAGTAGTGACGGATTTGCAACAACACTACTCAATGCTACCAATAAATTTCCTAGAAGGAAACATGGGCAATATGTTGTTGGACACCCCGGAATAAAAAAGATTGAAGCAGCATTGGGAAGAGGATACAGTATTTTTATCCTTCCCAGTCAGAATGATTTAGGTAACGGACAACGAGCAGACTTCTAAGCGGAAAACATGCAAAACAGTAGAAAATCCACCAAAACGACACTTATGGCATTTTTTGATATATGCAGTAGTGACGGATTTGCTACAACACTACTCAATGCTAACAATAAATTTTCTAGAAGGAAACGTGGACAAGACGTAGTTGGACACCCCGGCATAAAAAAGATGCGGCGTTGGGAAGATTATACAGTATTCATCCTTCACAGTCAGAATGATTTAGGTAACGGACAACGAGCAGACTTCTCAGCGGAAAACATGCAAAACAGTAGAAAATCCACCAAAACGACACTTATGGCATTTTTTGATATATGCAGTAGTGACGGGTTTGCTACAACACTACTCAATGGTAACAATAAATTTTCTAGAAGGAAACGTGGACAAGACGTAGTTGGACACCCCGGCATAAAAAAGACGCGGCATTGGGAAGAGTATACAGTATTCATCCTTCACAGTTAGAATGATTTTTTCTCAGGAATGGTTTTTTCTTCGTCATGTACATGGCCCAACAACGTTTCAGGACTTAAAAACAGTTAGAATTAAAGTCAGATGGAATTGTTAAAGAAACTTACAAAGCTGCTTGCCAAGATAGAGGTTTGCCAGAAGATCACATAAAAATGTAAAAATATCCACCCGTGCAAAGCCGGGGTGGGCCGCTAGTACCTAGATACAAATAAAGGGCTTATTCTAGCGGCAGCATTTCAATTACATTTGTAAATTAAAAGAAAAAATTAAATTGTGACATAACTATAATAGTTGGACACATGCCGTCCCGACACTTTTTGTAGATAATGATGTGTTCTACAAAGTCGTAGTACATCATTTTGTTCTATCATCAATACTCTTTGCAGCGCACTAGGTATTTTTATGTAATATTTTTACAGCTTGGATTACCTTGGGATCCTTACTAAAACTCTATTAGAGTTTTTAATTTCTAATTATTTTTTTAAATATACTTTGTCACTCAGGGATAGTGTAGCTTCCTAATGATGAAAGAATTTTTCACATCGGTCCAGTAGTTTCGGAGCCTATTCAATACAAACATACACACCAAAATACAAATCTTTTCTCTTTATAATATTAGTATATACTATATGTGCTATATACTATATATAATAGTTGCTCCCTAAAATATGGTTGAGCGCAGTGATGCTGGCTCATCCGTCATACTCTTGAACGAGAGCTGCTTGTAGGGACTGGTCTGCTCTATTCACTACGACTGATTTCCTCTTATTTAGTTGCTTAACTAGGCAACTGATATACATACATCTTTTTAAATACATACATAATATACATAAAAACAAACCCAAAGTAATAATAATAATAATCATCTCAGGACATTCACACAGAGCCATGTAGACCCAAGTTAAGGTAGCTAGAGCTTGTGTTATGGGTACTAGATAACTGATACAAATACATAGATATTTTTTTTTGTAAATACATACATATTATACATAGAAAACACCCAGACAGATACAAACAATCATACTCATGAATACAAATGTTTGTGCCGTGCGAGGAATCGAACCCGCGACCATCGGTCGTAAAGCGGTGTGCTTGACCGCTAGACCACCGAGGTCGTCAAAGTAACTATAAAAAGTAAACAGTCGAATTAGGAAATATTTAATTTGTTTGTTGTTTGGTAAGTTAAAAAAATACTTGAACTAATTTAAATTTTAACCTATAGAAAGCAACTTCATATGCTAGTAATGTAGGATATTCCACGTAATCATCGTGGAAGAATATGGGAAGAAAGAAAGAAAGAAAGAAAGAAAATATTTAGCTATTATTTAGCTCGCATTGCCATATATGAAAAAAAACACATATACGGCAATAAATATATTTTAATAAATTGACGTTAAAAAACATTCTTTAGTGTTCATAAATAAGTACTACATTAGAATTAAATAATAGTTTAGAAAAAATAATATATCTCTATGACAATATTTAATATCATTAATAAATATCTAATAAAATTATTAATATTATTTCTGTATGTGCATATTTCTTTCCTTAAAAAGTAGGGGTAAACCACCTTTTATGGCTTGCACAAAGTTTGCAGTGTGGTCAGTTTCGGGGTGCTCCTTCGATTCCGGAGCGGGTACCACAGTAAATTTCGAGAGTATTGCTGCTAATCCTGCCAACGATTGCATCACACCCAATCGCTCACCTGCAATGGAGAATTAAAAATAATCTATATTCAAGTCAACTTTCACTGGCGTAGCGGTTTCTGTATTGATTTCCGCAAGCAGTCTTATGTAAAGTGCAACTACTAATACTACATGGCAATTTTAAGAAGTTATAACATGTGATGAGTGTCTTTAATAGTCAAGGTCACTAAAATGTCCAGATATGTGGCGCCGGCAGCGAGGTGGGCCCAGTCATTGAGCTCCTTAAATTATCACCTTCACCTTCACTTCACCTTCATCATCTACCGCCTAGTTCAGTCCATTGTTAATTTAATTGACTACTTAGTTCTAAATATACTTTTAAATAAAAGAAGGTGTATTAATGAACTTTATTAATAAAAGAAAAGCGAAAATTAAAAAAGAAAACCGTGTGTTAATTTATATTTCTGACGATTCTCTGGTGAAGGAACATCAATAACAAAATTCAAAATTAATCCAAAAGACGGTGGTGGACGGTAGGCCCCTCCCACGTTGAATTCAAATATACCCAGCGAAATGTGGACATGTCAAGGGTGTATGTTTTTTGTGACGTCGGTAATTAACATGTCCTGACTGCCCCATTAGAGGTGACTGTCGTGACGGTATGATTTTTTAAAAAGTGATATATAATAAAAACAATACATACCAGTACATGCTCGGGGACCCGCTCCAAATGGCAGATAAGCATATTTATTGGTTTTACCAAATTCTTCCGAGATGAATCTTTTCGGTCGGAATTCATGAGGTTTTTCAAAATATTTTGGGTCATTATGCAGTCCATTAACAGGTATAATTATTCTATCGTCCTTCTCCAATGACATGTTTAGTTCAGGAATTGGGGTTCTGCGGACACATTGTCTCAATATAACGCCTCCAGGTGGAAATAATCTCAGACCTTCTTTGAGTGCACAGTTCAGGTAAGTCATTTCTTTAATAGCATCGTAGCTGAGTTTATCGTTGTATTTAGTAAGTACTTCATCAACTTCTTTTTGAATTTCTATTTGTATCTCAGGATTATAGGCTAGTTGATGCAATACGTAGCTGATGGCTGAAGACGTAGTTTCAAAACCAGCAGCGAAAAACGTAAATATTTGAGCGGTTATATGAACGTCGTCGAGTTCTAACGTTGCTATATCCGGGCTTCCATCTGGTTTCCTACGTTCGATAGATTCAACAACAATTGGCCCCTTTTTCTTACATTCAAGTAACATATCGATAAAATCATTTCTGCCCGATAGTTCATAATTTCTTTCGTCTAACATTTGCTTCGTCAATTTAAGTATATCACTTTCAATTCTCTCAAAGTATTTGAATTGTTTCCCGATACACGGGATGAATATATTTAGAAAATTAACTAACAAGTCTCTTGCAGTAACTTGAAATATTTTTACGCCGAGTTTCTTGAATGCTGAGTCTTCCTCGCTCAGCGCGTTGATGTCCAATCCGAATCCGCAGGAGCCTATAAAATCGATGTTATATCGAGACACAAGGTCATAGGCATCAATTGTATGGCCTGCGGCAGCTGCTGTGAACGCGCGTGCCTGCAGCTTCTCAGCCATTTCCACTATCAGCGGGAACATCATCTTTAGCTTAACGCTAGTAAAAATTGGTGTCATGCATTGACGCAACAGCCGCCAGAGATCGCCTCTTGCAAAAAATAAATTCCGCATCATCGGCTCTAAAACTTCCTCATGAAAATCTATATCGCGCGAATTGAAATGGACAAAATCAGTAACAAGAATGCGTTTTATGATTTCAGGATCTCTCACTACTAACTCTGGCCGTCCTACTCTGAAGAAGCCAACCACTTTCTCGTTGGGATATTTGTTGTAAACCTCGTGTGCAAGTTCAGCGATCGTTCGCTTTTTTAAATAGTACCAAAAGCAATTTCCGAAGAGTGGGATAGGCTTGTCATGTTTGATTCCTTTCGCGTCCCAATATTTGAAAGATTTAGTGCTGTAATAATAGGCTAGCGCACAGAAAACTACAACGATTGCCAAAGTAATCATTCTCAGGATACACACGCGCGTTTTTCACGAGTATTTAATACAAAATTTTAATTAAAAGTGCTAGCTAATTAACTGAGTTCTTTGATATTTAACTAATTTACATTTGACATGTTTTTTGTTTGTTCAAGTGGTTCTTGATGAACGTATTAAAATACTAATAGAATTGTCACGTATTTCTTTATTGCGTCTCCTTTGGCAGCATACCTTTGCAGAGAATTAAACGGTTCATTGAGTCTGCTTTCAGGAGCATTATTTTCCAGGGTCCTTTGTAGAAACCTAGTTAATTCTGGGCTAACTGACCTGCCTCTGTTTTTTATATTATTTTCTTCTTTTCTGCTGTCTCGCTTTCAAATTGGTATTTACAAGATCATTCTTTAAAAATTCTATCATTACCTCTGTTGGAAACTTTATAAACCTTTTTTATTATATATAGTTTTTTATAATATTATACTGTTTTTATATGACATAAGTCATTAATACATCATTATTTTACGACTATACCGGTGCCCTTTTCTTTGCTCCTCATCTTGGTCTCCATCCTTCACAACCTCCAATCAATCTGATTGTGGTCTGGTTTGAAGTTCTAAAACTTCTTTTTAGAATTATTTAAATTATAATCGGGTCTTAACAGGAATAATTTTATGGCAAATAAATGTATTTACCTCCCTCGAGGTGTGTGTATGTGTTTATATGTGTGATGATCTTGTGTGTCTTGTGAAATTGTTGATATATGGCGCTATGTTATTTATATTTATTTTGATGACATACTCATCGATTATATACTGTCGAATATAAAATAAACTAGAACCGGCAGTGTCGTAGATAATGTGGCTAACCTTGAGTTTATTCTTCAGAGGCCGTGATGGACGAGGTCCGACCCACTCAAATATAGTTTGATTGATGTCTGTACCTTTGTAGTCGTACATGTTGGACGGCGACAGTGATTGTTTTCAACTATCGGGTCTCCGCGTGGAAGAACCTGACAAACGACTTCAGTAACACCAACAATCATTCACCGACACATTATCTATAGGTATATCATAAAGAAAAAACGATTTTCTATCGTTAACAAACATTCTGTCATTGTCTAAAATAAAGAACAAAAAAACAAAAAGACAGACAAGCAGACAATACTAGTAAAAAATGTTATTTTGGTGTATGTACCATATTTATATTCATATGCACGGATATATTGATATATTGATAGTAAAAAACGGTTACTTCAATTTTACAAACAGACACTCCAATTTTATTTATATATGTATAGACTAGCTGCACCCGCGAGTTCGTCCACGTGGAATATAACTTTATTTTTCTAAAATAAAGGTAGCCTAAGTTATTCCTTATTACAGTAGCTACCTGCCAATAAAAGTCCTATCAAAATTGGTCCAGCCATTTCCGAGATTGGCCGGAACAAACAGACAAACAGACAAAAATTGTAAAAAATGTTATTTTGGTGTATTAAGACGCAGTTATACAAGAATATAAACACGGTACATACACCAAAATAACTATACTACATGCATATGAATGCATGTAGTAAAAAACGGTTATTTCAATATTATAAACAGACACTCCAATTTCATTTATATATATATGTAGTATTCGGTATTCGTATTAATTACTTATATCTTTGTAATAAACTTACATGTACATCCTGAAATTCCAAACAGCCATAGAATTATTGCTTCCTGAAATAATTTCAGCTAATATACAATTCGTTTACCTCCACTCAGACAATGCTTAGAACCGTAAAAGTTAATGGCCCCAGTCAATGACACGAGATTTCAGGTCACATGTAGTGAACCTTACGTTTAATATACCCTTAATTAAATGTTCTCTAAAGCCACTCGTAAATTAATGTAAATTATATGCAAAAAAAAATGTAAATTGTGAAATTTTATGTAATACTGGCTGTATAGCGTCCGCGTGGAATTTCACTTTATTTTTCTAAAATAAAAGTAGCCTAAGTTACACACCTTACTTTTTGAAAAGATTGGTCCAGCCATTTCAGAGATTAGCCGGAACAAACAGACAGACCAAAAATTGTAAAAAATGTTATTTTGGTGTATGTACCGTATTTATATTCATATGCATGTAGTAAAAAACGGTTTTTTCAATATTACAAACAGACACTCCAATTTTATTTATATGTATCGTAGTCTATACATACAAATACTTTTGCTTACTTTTTTTGCTTTTACTCGCGGCTTCGCTCGCATTGAATTTTATATTTTTCTAAATAAGAAGTATCCTATGTTCATTCTAATACCAAGAACATGTGTACTAATTTCATGATGATCGGTTTAGTAGTTTTTGCGCGAAAGCGTACCCAACATCCCTACTTTCAGATAATATTAGTAAGTACTAGCTGACCCCCTCTACTAACTTCATCTGCATCACACTTACATCACATTTATCATTATATATCACCCAATTTACATAATATCTTTTGAAATTATAGTAGAAATTATATACATCAGTATAAGCTATATTACTGTAAAGTTTCATCATAACCCGTTCAGTAGTTTTTGCGTGAAAGAGTAATAAACATCCACAAACTTGGCGAGCAGAATAGATCTATTTAGGTCGCAGTGCTACAGGTGCTACAAACATCTGACAATAACCCAAACAACCCAATAAAAAAAAACAAACATTCATCCATACTCATAAACTTTCGCGTTTATAATATTAGCATATTATGTTATCTGTGATGATAATAATAATAATAATAAAACTCTTTATTGTGTACACATAAAATAATAAGAAGATACAGTAACTAGTAAAATAATAACAAAAGGCGGTCTTATCGCTAAATGCAATCTCTTACTGACAACCTAGAAGAGAGGACTTATGTACATAGAATAGGGTAGGTGGCACACATAAGACACTGCTTATTATACTACTAAATATACATACTTACATTAAGGATAAATATATAAACCTACATATATACTACATATTGGAAGAAATAAGAAAAAAAAATAATATAAAAAATATGTACTATGAAGAGAGATAATGTAATCTTAGTCTACATTTAAATGATGCATGTGTTTGAGCTGATCGAATGGAGAGTGGTAGAGAGTTCCAGAGGCGAATGGCTTGGACAGTGAAGGAGTTAGAATAATATGTGGAGGAGTGAGCAGGGATCGTCAAATATAGGCTTCTGGTACTACACAAAGCAGAACCGGGGGATTTAGTATGAAATTGGAACTTGGTTTTTAGATATTCAGGGGTGGAGGGGTGGAAAAGAATAGAGTAAAGGAGGGATTATAAATGAAAATTCCTGCGAAGACGAATGGGAAGCCACTTGAGTTGACTGCGAACATTGGAAATGTGGTCATACTTACGGAGACCAAAAATGAATCGTATACACATATTTTGGAGTCGCTCAAGTTTATTTAATTGCTCTTCAGTGAGATTTACATAGATATTAGTATTATTTGTCTATTTATCAGTTTGGTTGTTGGCGCCTAAATTATTAGTTCAGCAAAATCTCGTATCTGCGAATTGGCTATCTTATTTATTTCCTTTTTATTTTTTATTAGGTAATATTTTTTTAAATTTTATAGCCGCTTCCTTTGTGGCGACATCCTTGACCTATTTTTTTTTTAATTATCCTGTAGATGTGTTCCATTTTTTTTATTCATATATATATATATATATATTTATTATTATATAGTATAAAACAAAGTCGCTGTCGCTGTCTGCCCGTCCCTATGTATGCTTAAATCTTTAAAACTACGCAACGGATTTTGAAGCGGGATTTTTTAATAGATAGAGTGATTCTAGAGGAAGGTTTATATATATTGTTGTAACTGGCTAATGAAGAAATATTTTATATTCTAAATTTGTATTTAAAATTTATTATTCCTGTTGTAGATTCTTGTTTTGTTAAATAATTGTAATTGTTTTGTTCAATTCCTTCATTCTATTCAAATTCAAATTCAAAAAATATCTTTATTCATGTAGGTCTATTACAGACTCTTATGATATGTCAAATCTACCGTCAGTTCGGAATGATATCGAGATGACAAGAACTGACAAGAAACTCAGCTCGTATTTTTTTCAAATAATAGTGGAACATGTTTCTATATTTAATACACAGTCATTAAAATTTAAATTTGGGTGATCAGTGACCTTTAGCATATGCTATCGCAAAGAACAAAAAATTTAATCAGTGTTCACAGCCTGAACAGACCAGTCCCCACAAGCAGCAGCCGTTCATGAGTATGACGGATGAGCCAGTCATCATTGCACTCAACCATATTAGAGGGAGCACATCGACCCGGCCCACCACGCCGCAACACGTTTGAATTTTATAACGAGCATGACTGTTTCAGGTTACTCCACTACGTCAATTATATTATTTACAGCATAGGCTGTTTTGTATTGCTTTTGCTTTTGTATAGTTGCATTCCTAATTGTCAGTAGTATATATTAATATATTTTCTCCGTTTACCTAGTCCTTTTTCTTATTACTACAACATATATAATTCATGTATATCCGGGCGAAGCCGGAGTGAGTAACTAGTAAAGAATATTTTCGTTATCAATTATGAAAAAAAGATGAGTAACTTTGTAAGTTGAGGGGAGTTATGACCACTGATTCTCTGCCTATACAAGAAAGTGTATATAAATATTTATTGCAGGAAAAAGCTAATATAAAACTTCCGTTTCCTTAACGATGTTTGTATTTCACTGATGTCGTCGGATAAAGAGGGAAAAGGTAGAATTACACTTTTATTTGGAAAGGAAAATGCATTTAAAGGGACGCCATTTTGTCGAAGGCGCTCTGCCTCCATGTCTGAATTGTATTTCAGTGTCGCAACTACTGAGAATAGGCAATTGCTATACCTAGCAAGTATTACGACACATCTTCAACGGCGATCGGATCGGACCACCAAGCATGACCAAGAAGGTGCGCTACCGAGAAAACCACCTGCGTCGAATCAGCATTTTAATTCCCACAGCAATAATACTCATTTCACTGATTTTTA